CTGCCGTATCTCCCCTGATTGGATTCAACTCCATGCCAGAATGGCCCGTTGGCAAAATAATCCTCCCAGTCAAGGCAGGAAGCGTGCGAAACAAGTGGAGTTATGGGTATTAAAGGTCCCCTCCACTTATAACATCATCTTGGGCAGAACTTGGCTTTATGCCATGCGATCGGTGGCGTCATCCTACCACAAAGTAATGCGGTTCCCCAACGATACCGGTGTAATTGAAGAGGTCTATGGAGATCAGATTATGTCCAAGCAATGCTTTATCACGGTGAATGGCCCCGCGCTGCCAAAGGATACGTTCATTCGGTGGAAGAATCTGAGAGCAATGAACTGTTCGCAGATGTAGGCAAAGCAGCTAATCAGAAAACGGTGGAAGACTTGGTAGAGGTAAGAATAAATGAAAAGAACCCGGATAAGTTCTTTTCGCTCGGTTCATCATTGTCCAACACTGAGAGATTAGAGGTCTTGGAATTTTTGACCTCTAATATCGAAGTGTTTGCCTGGACACCATACGACATGCCAGGAATTGATCCCAACTTCATCTGTCACCAACTCAATGTCCACCCATCCGCCAGACCAATCATTCAACGCACCCGTAGATCGACACTCCACTATGCCGAGATAGTGGCAGAAGAAGTAGGAAACCTGCTGGAGGCAGGAGCAATCAGAGAGGTGCACTACCCAAGATAGATCTCCAACACAGTCGTGGTGCCAAAGAAGAATGACAAGTGGCGTGTCTGTATCGACTACAAAACAGTCAACAAGGCATGTCCGAAAGACAGCTTTCCTCTACCACGGATAGATCAACTGGTCGACCTAACGGCGGGGCACAACCGACTTAGCTTTCTAGATGCATACAGAGGCTACCATCAAATCGCCATGCATGAACCAGACCAGGAGGTCACATCCTTTACAACTCCAAGAGGACTATACTGTTACAAGGTCATGCCCTTTGGCCTAAAGAACGCAGGGGCAACATTCCAACGGATGGTCACCAAGATGTTTGAACCATTGTTAGGAAGAACGATGGAGGCTTACATCGACGACATGGTGGTCAAAAGCAAGGATGAGAATGACCATCTTAAGGACCTAGGAGAGATGTTTGAAATTCTGAAAAAGCACAAGTTGCGCCTCAATACATCCAAGTGTGCATTCGGAGTAGGATCTGGCAAATTCCTAGACGGGCTTCCTTGTGACCAACCGAGGGTATAAGAAGCATGACCCCCTCCCAGATCGAAGCAATCCAAGGATTTGGACGAGACCAAACTCAGAATAAAGAAGTGCAGCATCTCACCGACATAGGCAGCTGCGCTCAACTCGTTATTAAGCCGTCATCGGACAAAAAACTACACCGATCTTCATCCACTAAAATCCAAATTCAAATGGACCGAAGAAGCACCAAGCTCTGCGGAAAGCTTGAAAGCAATACATGTCTTCTCCACCATTGCTGTCAACCCAAGACCTGGAAGAAGGAACTCTCCCTGTACCTTCAGTCTCTCAGCACGCAATTAGCACAGTGTTGGTCCGTGCGGAAGGAATTCAACATCTACCCCATCTATTATGGTCAGCAAGGAACATTGCTGGGAGCGAAACAAGGTATTTGCCACTGGAAAAACTGGCATTGGCTTATGATGGCCTCAAGGAAGTTTGTCGCCCACTATTTTCAACGCCCACATATCATAGTTTGTCCGCAACAAGCTTTTCCCATTAAAAAGGCTCTGTTTGAGAGGAAACTTTTCTGGGCGAATCTTGAAAAATGCGAGTTGAGTTGAAAACCCAATTCGATATTTAGTTCCACCAGAACCGCGATAAAGGGTCCAAGCTTTGCGCAGACTTTTGCCAGAATACCCAGAAGTCATCATATCTGCCAAGTCGACCTGACTAATACAACCAACCAGGAAAAGAAATTGACGCCGGAATAGCGCAACCCTGGTGCAGGATATTCAGTCAGACCCCATGGCAGACCAGAGTAAAGACAGCAAGGAAAAGCAACACCATGCTACACCAAGCCAAGGACTCACCAACAATAAAGACTTGGGTTCAATCAGATAGCGAGGGGCAGACAACAAGCATGGACCTTAAGAAACACCAAGCAACATTCTTGACCCACAACATCATCTGACCCCTCCACTTGCTGGAAGTTGTTCGTTGGTGAGATGTGGAAGCTCTTGTGGATGGAGCATCCAACGGCATTGGTGCAGGACTTGCATAGTCCTTATCTCACCAAAACGGCTGGTTGTGGAACAAGCAATCAACCTTGGTTCCCAGCATCAAAAACGAAGCGGAGTATGAACACTTCTTACAGGATCAAATCAGCATTCTACATGAAGGCCACCGAATTAATGGTCTACAGTGACTCACAGCTGAGTAAACCAAATTTCTGCGACTATGAAGCAAAGGATATAGGATAGCCAAGTACAAGAATGGTCAGAACAGAGATCAAGAAATTTGAAATAGTAAGGATAGACAGATGGCAGGAGGAAACACAGAGCAGACGAACTAGCAGGCTTCGCTTCAATGGCAATACTTCCATCCCTCATCCGTTGCTCATCGACTACTTACCAAGACAAGCATTGAAGACCCCGAAGCAAAGAGAGGTATGTTGCGCCGAGTTAGGCCCTCATGGATGGATTCCCATTATACTGTTCTCTAAAGACGACATCTTACGGAAGACAAGAAAAGAGGCCAACAAAATTAGAGCAAAGTCACAGCGATTTTGGGCTTTCCCCATCTATGGCATTGTACAAAAGTCATTCTCAGGACCTTACCTAAAGTGTGTCCACCCAGTAAAGTAGAGCATTCTTGTTCGAATACATGAAGCGGTGTGCGGAAGCCACCAAGGAGGAAGATCATTAGCTTACAGAGCCATTTTACAAGGTACTGGTGGCCATACATGCAAGCAGACTCCGAGAAGTATGTGAGAAGTGCAAAAAATGTCAGAAGTTCTCACATCAAATACATCAGCCGGCCAGAGAACTCTTACCATTGACCAGCCCTGCCCTTTGCAATGTGGGCTTGGACATCAGTAGGACTACTTCCAACAGCGCCGGAAACAGGAAGTTCTCTCACAGCAACAGACTACTTCACAAAGTGGGTGGAAGCAGAAGCATTGCATCAATCAAGGAAAAGATGTGAAGAAGTTCGTCTGGCAAAATATCATTACTCGATTCGGCATACCTAAAAGCCCTCATATCAGACAACGACACCCAGTTTGATGGCAAAATTTTCAGGGGCTTTTGTGATGAATACAAGATAGAGTTCTACAATTCTACACCGGCATATCCCCAAGCCAACGGCCAGGCGGAAGCATCAAACAAGGTCATCTTAGATGGACTGAAGAAAAGGTTAGAAAGAGTAAAAGGCAAATGGGCTGAGGAACTTCCTCATGTTTTATGAGCTTACCGCACCACACCTCGACGATCGACAGGAGAAACACCATTCTCCTTAGCCTATGGCATGGAAGCAGTAATCCTACTGGAAGTTGGCCTCCCCACAATTCGAAACGAAAATTTTAATCCAGACTTGAATGAAGAAGCCATAGCATTGGAGCTCGACCTCGCCGAAGAAAGAAGAGAAAGAGCACTAGTCCACATTGCCTCATATTAATAAGAGTTATCCAGGAAATACAACAAAACAGTACATCCAAGGCAATTCAAGATCGGAGATTGGGTGCTGCGCAAAGTGATAGGAAGCACCCTGGTGCTAGGAGATGGCAAGCTAGGGCCTAATTGGGAAGGTCCTTACAAAGTGGTTGGGTTAGCAGACAAAGGGACATACCACCTAGAAGACAAGGACGACAAAGCAATCCCTAGGCCATGGAACACCGCCAATCTCAAGTTATTTTATTTTTAGCTTTCCTCTTTCAGACATGTGTAATTTTTTCTTTCCTCAATAAAACAAGTCGATTCTTTTCAGCATAGTTATTTTCTGTAAAAGTTAGTTTTAGTGAAGTTGTTCTAACCTGGCTGGAAAAACCAACTTAGAGGTTGGCTGGATTAAACCAACACCCTTCCTAAGCCCAGGATAAGGATCCAGGCTGCAGGACGTTTGGTCGGAATAACCAAACACTTTACTTTAGGTTGGCTGGAAAAACCAATCTAAAGGTTAGCCGGAAAAACCAACACCCTTACTAAGCCCAAGATAAGGATCCAAGCTACAGGACGTTTGGTCGGAATAACCAAACACTTCACTGTAGGTTGGCTGGAAAAACTAATCTAAAGGTTGGCCGAAAAAACCAACACCCTTCCTAAGCCCAGGATAAGGATCCAGGCTGCAGGACGTTTGGTCAGAATAACCAAACACTTTACTTTAGGTTGGTTGGAAAAACCAATCTAAAGGTTGGCTGGATTAAACCAACACTTGGTACTCTTTAGCCAAAGTAAGGACATCGGCTAAAGAGTGGTTGATCAAAGTAAGGATATCGGCTAAAAGAGTGATTGACTGGATTAAACCAACTGTTAGTACTTTTTAGCCGAAATAATGACATTGGCTAAAAGAGTGGTCAAACGAGGCCAAAATATTAAAGTTATGTTTAATATTGCTATTACTTAGTAAATAATTAAAAAAGATAAAATAGTTATTTGAGTATTTATCCTTCTCCATAATATCCCAAATAAATATTGGATAACTAAAAATAGTCCAATTTAGACATCTAATTACATAATTAAATAAACATAACATACAAATTTAATCTAATCAAATAATTCTGAAACAATATATCCCATAATTAATAGTCCGATAGATTATGATCCCCTTATCCAGTCCGTCTAAAGAAACGCACGCCGAGAGTACCGAATATTTATCCATACAATAGACGAAATTTTTCTTATAATGTTCATTTACTATTAGGAGATTTTTATAAGAGAGAGTAGGGTTATTATTGTCAAATTGCCGCTTCACTAAAGGCGATTCCCAGTTTTCCAGAAAGAGGAGGAGCCCCACTGCCCACAAACAATGGCAGCTGTCTCCAGCCTATTTCCCTCCCAAACGCAAATCACTCTTCCATCTTCTTTAAGTAGCCCCCCAACCCCTCTCTCTCTCTCTTCATCTCTTCATCACCTCCACTCCAAAACATCCTTCTTCCACCACCACAACCACGACTGTAGTATTAAAATATGTCTCTACTCTTCTTTTTCTTCTTGATTATCTTATTCCTGTTTGATCCCTCTGCATGTGCTTCCTCCCCAGCTGCTGCACAAACACAAACACTAGACATAAAGCCCCAATACTACAATCCCAAGCTCCCACTCAGAACTCTCTCTTCTTCCAAGAAATATGAGGGTTCATCGGATCTCATTAACCTTCGCTACCACATGGGACCCGTACTCTCCTCCCCGATCAACATCTACCTCATCTGGTACGGCAAATGGGCACCCACCCAGCAACTCCTCATCAAGGACTTCCTCCTCTCCATCTCCACCACCAACCACCGCGCCGCCCCCTCCCCCTCCGTCTCCGACTGGTGGCGCACAGTCTCCCTCTACACTGACCAGACCGGCTCCAATATCTCCCGCTCCGTTCTCATCGCCGGCGAATATTCCGACCACCGCTACTCCCACGGCACCCATCTCACCCGCCTCTCCATCCAGCAAGTCATCGCCTCCGCCGTCCGATCCAAACCCTTCCCCGTCGATCACAAGAACGGGATCTACCTCGTCCTTACTTCCGTGGACGTCACCATGCAGGATTTCTGCCGCGCCGTTTGCGGCTTCCACTACTTCACTTTCCCATCCATGGTCGGCTACACTCTACCCTACGCCTGGGTGGGCAATTCGGGTAAGCAATGCCCCGAAGTCTGTGCTTACCCGTTTGCTGTCCCGGGTTACATGGCGGGCGGTGGCCCGGGTGCTCTGTCTCCTCCCAATTTAGATGTGGGCGTAGACGGCATGATCAGCGTCATAGCTCACGAGCTTGCGGAACTTTCTTCAAACCCCTTGATTAATGCGTGGTATGCGGGTGAGGACCCGACCGCGCCGACTGAGATTGGGGATTTGTGTGAAGGCCTGTATGGAACGGGTGGTGGAGGCGGGTACATAGGGCAGGTGATGAAGGACATGGCGGGTCGGACTTTTAATTTAAACGGCAGAAGGGGTAGAAAATTTTTGGTGCAGTGGATTTGGAGCCCCGTCTTGAAGGCTTGTGCTGGTCCCAATGCTTTGGACTAGAACACAAAAAATTAAATTAAATTAAAATTTAAACATTTTTTCTTCTTCCACTTTTCTGTATTTTTTTTTTAAGTCAATAAATTTTTAGTATGTTGATAGTGAGATATTAATATAGGAAGTAGGGATGGATGGTGGCAGTTGGCTAGTGTTATAATTGAAGGAGTTGTTGGGGGAGGGGAGGGAGGACTAGATGGGAACGATGAGTTTTTTTTTTTTTTTTTCTTTTTTCTTTTTTTGTATTTTTGATGTTCATTTTATTTATTATTTTGATTTTTGTTTATTTTATCCAGATGTATAAAGGTTTAAATGTTGATGAGATTATTAGTTTTTACAGAATGTTTGTATAATTCCAATTCATTTATTTTGCGTTCCATACCATTCAAATTGCTAAAACCTTGTTGGGTAAGGTTTTCGTTTTGTGTTTTCATTATTTTTAAAAATTGAAAACTATAATTTAATCACCATATTAGTTTCTTTTTTAAAAACATAGATTTGTTCTAAAATTTTAAAATAAATTTTTATTCTCTACAACCCACTGGTCAGCCTACCGATCCTCGGTTAAGCATGGCCAACCATGTGACATCAAGCGACATTTCCACCACGAACTCAGGTAGCCAGAGTAAACATGGAGTTTTGATAACACAGACTGTAGGGTGTGTTTGGTTTGATTTTGATGGATAAATTTTAGAAATTTTTTTAGTTTTTAGTTGTATATTTTAAAAATAATTTTGGAGTATGAGATTTTGATATTTTATTATAGTTAAGTAGATGTATTTGAGAAAAAAATTAATTGAGAAAGATGAGAGAAAAAAGTGGTTGATTGATGTATAAGAAAGAAAAAGTGATTTTGAAAGAATATTCAAAAAATGTTTAATCAAATAAAATTCTGAATTTTTTTTTTATAGAAATTGTGATTTGAGAGTTAAGCAAAGAAGGTGGTAGGCTTTTTGTTTGGGGGAGGAGAGGGAGTGTTTAAATTTGAATTCAAAACAGAAGTAGGTGCGGTTGACTTTAATTTTCAATATAGTGCGCATACGTAGAAGAGTAATGTTAAAGATTCTAAATATTTGTATTAAAAGTTTTATTAAATGTTTTATATGGGTGTGAGATTTACATAATGTGAGTTTTATGTGGGTTCTATATCTATGTGATATTTAATAAAATTTTTAATAAAATTTTTGGGATCTTTAATATTTTTGTATATAAAAATTAAAAATGAATAAAAAGTGTTTGGGATCTTTAAAGTTGGGAATTTCAAAATGACGTAAAATAATCTTGTGTTTTTATTTTTTTTTTCCCTCCTCCATCAATCACATGTGAGTGGACGTAGAATAATCATGCGTTTTTATTTTTTTTTCCTTCCTCGATCACTCACATGTGAGTGAGAATTGTGTTTTTTTAGAGATTTATAATATTGTTGAAAAATGAATATGAAGATAAATTTAAAAATAAAAGAAATATATTAATAAAATATAATTATATTTTATAATTTTATAATTTTTTTTTTTTTTTTTCTGAATTCATGAACTAAATACAATTCTACTGGTTTGAGTTATTTAGATTTTGACGAATGCTAAGCATTGTTTGGCTTACGTATGTAAAACTGTTTTTGTGTGCACATGAACGGTTGATGAGATTGTAGAAATTAGTGAAAGTATTTTGAAATTATAATAAAAAAGTGTTTCATGATTTTTTTTTTGGGGGATAAGATGGTTGGGGCCACTCCCTAGAGCTGATAATTTCATTTTGGTGTAGATTTATAAAAGTATTTTCAAATTAATGATAAATTTATAAGTATTAAAAGTGAAATTATAAAATTTTCATAATTTTATAATTATTTGAAATGAAAAATGCTTGGGAGCACTAATTAGTGCTCCCACTAATTAGGTGGCAGTGGGTCCCGTCAGTAATGATGTGATGTTTTGGTCTTGGAGTTGTATTTTTTTTATTTATTTTTATTTTTTTAATCTATTAGTGCTATTATGGTGATATTTTTAGTGGATGAATCATTAAAATATTCCACTGACATGGAATTCCTACTTTCTCTTTTTTTTTTTTTTGACTTTTTTTTGGTTTGTTTTTGTCAGCGGAAAATGAGTGAGAGTAGTGGGTCCCATCTACTGTTATAGTTTATTGTTTTTTTTTTAATGGATGCCAATGCATTAGTGCTAATTTAGAGCATCCTTTTAGTGATTTCTATCATTGCGTTTGTTAGCAAGATATATATGTATATATAGGGGGTGTTTGGGAACTTGGTTTTTGCGTTTTTTTATTTTTTTGATTTTTTTTCACTAAAGACAAATGTTTTACAAAATCAAAAAAAATAAATCAAACAAAATATCACATCAAATAGTTGAGTAATTACAATAATTTGATAAAATTAATTAATATTTATATATTTATAAATTTTAATTTTTTTAAAAGAAAATAGTACTTGTAAAAAGCTTATTTGTTTATAAAATAACAGTTCCGATTCGTAGCTCAAAAAAATGTGGCTTGCGAGAGTGGCTAGACACCAAAACAACGTCGTTTTGGTGTTTATTTTTTCCTTCTTCGCGTTTTTCCGAAGATGAAGAAGAAAAAAAAGAAGAAGAAGGAGCTGGGTCTGCTGCTCTGCTGGGTTTATACATCAAAAAAAAAAAAAAAAAATTGTTGATCAACATCAACAAAAAAAAATTTTTTTCATCAACATCAACAAGATCTGGGTTTACAGATTCAGATCAACACCATCAGCATCTTCATCAACAATTTTTTTTTTCCCCTTCATCTTCAGATTTTGAACATCATCATCATCATCATCACATCATCATCTTTATCTTCATCAACAAAAAAAAAAAAAATATTCCTTTCATCCTCAAATCCAGATCTACTAAAAGGGGACCGCCATCATCGACCGATCATTGCCGATCACCGGCCGCCATCACGAGAGAAAGACTACCATCACCGCCGATCTCTTCCTTCTCCTCTTCTCTTTCTCTCTCTCTCCATGTCTCTTCCCTCTGTATTTAAATGCACAGAGAAAGAAAGAAAAATAAATAAATTATAATATAATATTTATATATATATATCAAAATGACGTCGTTTTGGATATTCAGTCCAATTTCAAGCCAACAATTTCGAGAAGGGATCATTTTTCTAAATATAATTGATGAGGGAGAAGGAAGATTGTCGGATAAAATTGATGTTTAAAGCAACCTGATAAAGACTTGGTTCGCGGGACATTAAAATCAGATGAGGTATATAAACCAAACCAAGAATAGTTTGTTTGGTTTCTATCTTCATGATTTTATTTTTAGAAAATTATTATTATTATTTTTTTTGTTTTTATTAGATTTTTTTAATATTATAAATATTTTTTAAATTTTTATTAGATTTTTTTAATATTATTAATATTTTTTAAATTTTCAAACACACCTAACATAAATAAATTTAAAAAATATTATATTTGTGAATTTTTTAGAAAATTCACAAAATATCAAAATATTTTAAAAAAATACGAGAATTCAATACATTTTTTTATTCTTTGTATTTATTTTTTAAAATTTTAAATAATTCATTAAAAATAAAAATATAAAAATAAAAAACTCAAATTTAAAGAATTAAATTCAGAAAATTAAAAACTACTAAACGGTACTCTTCAAAATCAAAATAGAGTAGTATTTTTTAGTACAACAATATGATATTACTTTTTTATAAGAGTGATGTTAGGCCTTAAATAATTTTAAATTTTTTTGGGTGTGTAAAATTTATCATTTATCATTTTTTTTATCAAATATTTATATAAACGTGGAACTCATATACATATGAGTTTGTGTAAATCTCACACCAATGTGCCAGAGGTTTAGTAGGAAATTTAATAAATTATTTCAGATCCATAAGGTTGCATTTAGTTCTCTTTGAAATTATAATTCTAATAAAAAAATTCAAAACTCATAATCAAACTCTTTTTAAAATTCTATTAAAAAAATTCAATTTTTTTTTTCATTTTTTAAAATCACGATTTGAGTGTAGAGTTGTGTTTTGAGTTGAGTTTTGAAAAGATAATTTGTTTGATTATGAGTTTTGAAAGAGTTTGAGTTGTATTTTGAAATTTTTTAATATTTAAAATATTTTGTAATCTTATTTTTTAAGGGCAAATATTTATATTTTATATTTTAATATTTATTTTTACTTATTTTTAATATGCACTATATTTCATATATTTGTGTGCTGTATTTTTTAAAATATTTCAAATATTAAAAATAAAATAAATTTTTTATTTTAAATATATATTTTTTATTTAAAATATTTTATTTTATAAATATATTTTTAAATATTTTAATTTTTTAGTTATGTGTTTGGTTATAATTTGTGTGTTCAATTTTGAAAGTAGTATGGAGTTTCAAGTTATGTGTTTGGTTATGATTTGAAAATAATTTTTAGATTGAATTTTGAATTATGTGTTTCGTTATTTTGGTTGTCAAATTTGTTTTGGAATTTAAAATATTAAAATAAAAACATTAAAATATTTACAAAATAAAACAAAATATTTAGAATAAAATAGTTAAAAATATTAAATAAAAAAATATATTTAAAATTTAAAAAATTAAATTTTCTTAAACTTTTTTTAATAATTAAAAAAAATAAATCTAATTTTTTTAAAAAATATAATTCAAAATTCAAAGCCCAACTTTTTCAAAATTCAAAACTCTTCTAAAAACTTATAATCAAATAATTTTTTTTTTTCAAAAAACTCAACTCATAAATCTAAACTTAAATCGCAACTCTATGACTTGTTTTGGGAAGGTGGCTTTTAATTACTTTTTTTGGTTTGTATAAAAAACTAAAAGTTGGTTTTTTTGAATTTTTTTTCATTTGGAAAGTTGTTTTTAGCCAATGTGAAATTATAATTCTATCCTTCATGGGTCAAAATGTGTTATAAAAGTGAAGTTGTAAATATTTTAAACTAAATGAAGGTAGTTTGGTCATTTTATTATGATTTAAACATCAATAACACATATTAATCAAAAAAAGCCAAAAGTTAATTTTTACAAATTCTCAAATCATTTATCTAAAAAAGCCAAAAACTTGATTATAAGCTAAAAATTTTTTATCAA